CGGAAACAGGTCTACACCGGAAACAGGTCTACAGCGGAAGCAGTGGGGAAATCTTTGATCAGCTGATTGATTGATAAACGTCCAAACACACAGTATGAATAAAGCTGTGTTGAATGTGGCCCCTGGACACAAACAGCTGTGTTTGTTGTGAGTCAGAACATGAACCTGCTGCATGTTTGTGTGTCTGTGTGTGATCACGCCTGTGGTAGATTACATTTTGTGTGTCTGTGTGTGTGCTGTGTGTGTGCTGTGTTAGATCTGGCGGCGGTTGGTCCTGGACCTCCTCTTGGACGTCCTTCTCACCACCACAGCTTTGGGTTGAGGGATGATTGGTTGCGGCAAGAAGGCGGGGCTTTGGATCATGTGGGCGGGGCTTTGGGCAATGTGGGCGGAGCTCTGAGGCTTCGCTGAGCGGGAGCTGAACTTCTTCTTCCCGCCTTCGTCAGAGTCGACGCTCTCGTCCTCTGAAAGAAAAACAGAATAAATGGAAGGATGAAGGAGTTCGAACGTCTGAATGCAGAAGCTGAGAATCTGCAGCAGAAACATTAGTGCTGAATTGTGTGTCTGTGTGGTTGTTATTTTAATGCTATTGTAAGATCAACTTATTGATAAATGAACAGTCTGATTATGTTTTTGTCTCACCATCTTCTTCCTCCACGCTGTTAGCAGCAGCTGCAGCAGGCTCTGAAATCAGTCAATCAATCAATTAATCAATCAATCAATCCATGCAGATGTAAACAGCTACTCAGAAGTGGAAAAGAAGGCAAGACTTACCAGGTGCTGTCACCTGATTGGCTTCTGGAGCTACAAGATGAAAATGAAATGAATGAACGAATGAGAGGTTGGAAGATACGTGAACAGATGAACGAATGAGTGTAAATAATGAGAATGTATGAAATGAGACAGTCGTTCTCACTACCTGCTGCCTCTGAACTGGAGCTGCTGGTGTCTGAAACAGGTGAACACATGGACAGGTGAACGCATGAACAGCTAATGTACAGCATCAGATGTGACCTACCAGCTGACAGCAATGTGGTCA